AGAGTGTCTGGGTATCTGAGAGCACTTACAATGCGATCCAGCACATGGAGAGTCCGAGCACAACTCGATATTTTACACAAGGGACTCCAGATCATCATTTTCACATCATGGTCCATGTTCTTGAAAATCTGAAATGCATTTTCCACCTTCTGCTTCAGTTGAGAGAAGCCTACAGTGCCTAAAGTTTAACCAGACATGTGAAAGATGAACATTATATATTCTCAATAAAAAAAAAAACAATACAGTGAGGGAAATAATTATGTGACCCCATGTTGAATTACTAACTAGACCCATTTATTAAAAAATGAGAAGTCTATCATTTCACTGGTAGGTTTATTTTAACACCAGAGGATAGATTTTCAACAAAACAAACAAGAAAAAAATCATTATGTAACAGGTACAAATCAATTTGTCATTTATCTAGGGAAATAATTATTTGATCCCCTACAAGCCAGCAAGAAATTAGGTCAAGTACATATGCACTAACACAACACAAGTAGTACTCAATTAAGTATTAACAGATACCAAACCAGCATTGTCATTTATATGCATTACTTTGTTAAACAGTATTCTTGGGTCACTAACCTGTCTTACACCTTATCACCATGGGAAATAACAAAGAGCTGTCTAAGAACATCAGAGACAAGATTGTTGACCTTCACAAATACGGAATGGACTACATGACCATCAGCAAGCAGCTTGGTGAGAAAGTGACAACTGTTGTTGCAATTACTCACAAATGGAAGAAAGACAAAATAACTGTGAATTACCCTCTGGGGCCCAAAGGAAGATCTCATCTCATGCAGCATGAATGATCTTAAGAACGGTGAGGGCTAACCCCAGAACTATACGGGAGGAGCTTGCTAATGATCTCAAAGCAGCAGGGACCACAGTCACACTGCTCAAGAGGGCCCATGTTCAGGCCCGTCTGAAGTATGCCAGTGAACACCTGAATAATACCAATGAGGCTTGGAGGAATGTCATGTGGTCAGATGAGACCAAAATCGAGCTGTTTGGCATCAACTCTACTCGCCGTGTTTGGAGGGAAAAGACTGCTGACTGTAACCCCAGGAACACCATCCCTACTGTCAAACACAGAGGTGGAAGCATTATGCTTTGGGGGTGTTTTTCTGCCAACGGTACAGGACGGCTGCACCGCATTGAAGGAAAGATGGACGGGGCAATGTACTGTAAAATCCTGGAGGAGAACCTCCTTCCTTCAGCCACCCCTTCAACAGGTGGGTCTTCCAGCGAGATAACGACCCTAAGCATACGGCTAAGGCAGCAAAGGAGTGATTCAAGAAGAAGCACATTAAGGTCATGGAGTGCCCTAGCCAGTCTCCAGACCTTAATCCCATAGAAAACCTATGGAGGGAACTCAAGCTTCGTCTATGACAGCCTAAAAAACCTTAAAGATTTGGAAGAGGTCTGCAAAGAGGAGTGGATGAAAATTCCTGATGATCTGCATGCAACCCTGGTGACCAACTACAAGAAACGTCTGACAGCTGTGCTTCCAAACAATGGTTATTCCACCAAGTACTAAAGCACGTGTTCCAAGGGATTAAATACTTATTTCCTGAGATGAATGACAAATTGGTTTGTAACTGTTACATGATGATATTTTCTTACTTGTTTTGTTGATAATCTATCTTTTGCTGTTAAAATAAACCTACCAGTGAAATTATAGACTTCTCATTTATTTATTAATGGGTCAACTTAAGAATTCAGCAGGGGTCAAATAATTATTTCCCTCACTGTAAATTATTAGGCCTCAGAAAATAATTTTGTATTGCAAGTCTGCAATCCTTTGTACTGTATTAAAAAGCTATCCGAGTGACCCAAGTGACCATGGCAAAAGGCCTGACCACACTGTGCTAATAATCATTAAAATGCATCTCGTTATCTAGCTATTCAAGACTCACCAGCAAGGCATTCTTCAGTAAATTCTCGCACTCCTGCAAGAAAAACAATTGCAATTTAAATTTCACTCCTTGAAAGACTCACCTAATTATTCTGTTGCCTATTTCTGTTGCAATACCTTTCGTCCACCTTAGGTATACTTTAGTTATATAGCCTTTCCTTGGAACTTTGACCATTTCAAAAGCCAAGTGTTGCAGCAGTAGCATTGCCCATCATTTCAGTAATGTTCATTTTATGTTCATTTCAGTAATGTTCATTTCATGTTCATTTCAGTAATGTTCATCCACAAGGCACAAATCTAAGTTTGAGGCTAATATTTCATGAAATATTAGGTTAAACGAGACTGAGTCATGGATGAAGCATATGCAGAAAAGTAAGCCTCAGCCCATAAGCCCGGAATATCAGTATACAAAATACCATCATGGTCCCAGACGTGTCTTTTCACCCATTCGTCGTCTGCTCACAAAAAGGGAAAGGAGAGTGGGATCAACATATCAATCAGTGAAGTCTACTATCAGTCACACATTTCCTGCTGAAATTCAAACTACCGGCCAATAAAGGTCACACTTTTCAGGTTTTTAATACACTCCTTGTATCTGTCACTGGCTTGTACTGTTTGTCCGTTATTGTATGTCCATTCTTTAATTTTATCTCACTTCCTATGTACAGCAAGTAGAGCAAGTTAAGTACATATGTTTACTGACAAAGGACAAGTAACTTGGCTAAGCAAGTTAGGCCGATCACTTAATTTACACAAATATTTAATTCAACGCAATGCCACTACAAAGAAAAACTGGAAATATATCTCAATAATAACTAGACAGTAATGATTGCACTAAAGCTTGGGTTTATTGGAAAATAGAGGAATTCAGTAGCAGGGCCAGCTGTACACCAAAGAGGCACCAGAACTCACCTTTTACGAAGTCTAAGGGGATCTTCTGCAGTTTGAACCCCAACACACTACCTGCGTCCACATTCAGCGTCTTCGTACTTTCTACCTTAAGGCTGCTATCTGCCTAAGAACAGGTAGATCCAAGCTCATCTTAGATTTATATCTATAGATTTATGAGTAATGTGCAAGATATCCAATTCACTACAAGGGACACTGTTCATATTATTGTTTTTCTGAATCAAAAGGTGATCTTATAAGCAAGGGAATGGAAAGGGGGGAAAGAGAGAATGTGCCATCTGTCACTTTCACTGGGGCTCGGCAATATAGCAAAAAATTTTATCACATTTTATAACTTTTTCATATGAGTCAATATCGATAATCACTATATAATTTATGAATCATTATTTTCAATAATCATTCAATATTTCTTTACTAGGCTCCATTTATGACATATTGAATGCACTGCAAACTGAAATCTAATTTTAATAAATAAATCATACAATAATTATGATATAATAATTAGAATGATTTCCATATAATAATTTTTCATAGTAGGGTGTAATACTAATAACACTGGCTCATTGCTCCTGACAGGGCACACACTTCACATTACTAGTAGAGTTGCCACCCACCTGGTATTGAAAAATAAAATGCTGTGTCCTGTTTTGAACCGATATGGGACGCGATTGAAAGTTGCAACAATAATTTTTAGTGTCTGTGACTAATCGCTTGTATTGTGTATATTGTCCTGGAGGGCAATGCTTCGAGTGGTGCAATTAATTTGTAGTATTTCCAGTTTTATTCAGCATCAGCCTGTTGCGTGTTGTAGACTCCTTTAAATTTCCAAAGTGCGTCCACATCGCCACCGTCGCTTTACTTTTATCTATAACAACTCATTTAAAAAAAATGTGGCTGCTGAGCTGTTGCTAAATTTCTTGACAGATACTGAAGTATCCTCTGCAGAAGCGTTTATTCCCCCTAGCGTGACTTGTGTTTAGAAGCAGAGCAGCAGGGGTGCTCCGCTTACTCAGTAAACCTTGCCATGTTTTTTTGTGCATAGTTTGTCCATCTTCAAAGTAGTACTGTGCGGTATAAACGGTATACGATATAAATTTGGCCAACGGGAGAGATTTTGATTATACCGTCCTACCGCAGAAATTTCCGCTCCTCGCCCGCAAAAATGACGTAATCAAGTCGCGTCAAATAAATGATTTATATGAAAATCATTTATAAGATTATTGATGCACCTGGCAGCAGAGTCCTGCACGGGTTTCATTTTGACAAACCGCACCCGTCTCCGAACCATTATCCGACAGAAATAAAATAAAATTCCGCACCCGATCCGACCCGCTATAAGTAAATACAGACACCCAACCCGCACCCGAATAAATATCAGTCAGATAGCCAAAATTAAAGACAAAAGTTTATTGCCACAACAAACGACCAGTGACATATGCAACATCAGTTGAAAAGGCATAGCCAAATGTAAATGTTGCTTAACAGCCTAATAATAAAGCAAAACAAACGGTAGTAGCCTACCTCCAAACTAAAATAATGTTTGATATTGCCAGGCCCACACATAGCATTACTAGCTTACAATCAAATATGTTAATATAACTAAAATGATATAAAATGTGCATTAGGCTACCCTAGAGTGACCGGATAATCCATGTCAGGGAGGACACTTTGAGCTACTTCGGGTTTTACAAGCTACTTTCAAATTAAAAGGCTCCTGTGCTCGGCTAAATAGTTCAGCTCTTCTTGCGCTTTGACTGGTTTGTTTCCTTGACTGAAAGACTCATCCAGTTGTTTCACATTAACATTAGTGACACATGCATGATTATAGGAGACTGACCAATCAGCACACAGCAAGAACTCAATGCTCAAGTGAAATCCAGGTCTGTTTAATTGAAATGGTAATTTACAATTCCTGTGTTAGCTCAGAGTGTCCTCCCTGACATGGATTATCTGGTCACAGGTATTGGCCACAACTTTAAACTCTCCACTTGCTAATTTTCTTTTCAACTCCTCAGCATCCATTTCGAACAGCTGCAGGAGATCGCGTTTTTTGTAGATGTAAGTGGGAGAGATTTCCTGGAATGCGTGTGCAAGCATAAACTGATATGGATTTTAGGTTTTATCATCTTGGATGCAAGGATTTTTTGTGTGTCACTAAAATATAGCCCTAGAGTATTTTTTGTTGGCACATGATGTTTTGAAAACCGCAATTTAGACCCGCGCTTGCCTGCGGCCGACCCGAACCTGTATCCAACACAGAAGAATATTTTTCACCCGTTTCATCAAAATTTGCGGGTCACCAGTCGGGTACCCGAACCCGTGCAGGACCTTTATGGGAGAGATGGTCATTCTAATATAGATGGAGTTATGACACTAGTCTAATTGTATTAGTTTTGTAGCTTTTGGTTCTGTCTTGTTTTCTGCTTACCTACAGTTTACAAAACCAACCTGTGTTTTGAATATAAGATAAAACCAGGGAAGTTACTTCAAATGTTTTCATGTTTTTTCCATAATTACAGATTTGCACAATAAATATTCTACGTTCACGACCACTTTCAAATGTGTTAAGAGTTTATTATACAACTTCCAGCTGCAATGCCTTTGTTATGGACATATGTTACCCTTTCAAAAACAATTATATTGAAATTTACAGATCAAATTATATACCGCAATATATACCGTCTACCGTCTATGGTTCAAATTATACCGCAATATGAATTTTATGCCACATCGCACAGCCCTACTTCAAAGCACTCTCATTGGCAGCAGGCAAGGTCATTTTAATCAGTGCTGACAAAACGCTGCCACTCTCATTCATCTTTACCATCATTTCATTGAGCGTTTGTTGCATTGGTATAGAGGAAAATTATATTGCGATTAGAGGTCGACCGATATGGGTTTTTCAATAGCCGATGCTGATATTTAGGAGTCAGGGTCAGCCGATGGCCGATATATGCTGCCGATATTTTGGCCGATAATTGGACATTTTCCCCTCTATTTGCATGGTAAACTATCAAACTAATAATAACAAACGATACACAAAATTTCTCAACTTATCATTTATTGAATACTGACTTGTGTAAATTTAAATATAAACTTAACCAAAACACAATACAACTTGTGAACAATAATTTAAACTTATAAACAATAAAAATAGCAGCATCAGAATCTCTTTTAGTGCACCATATAGAAGCAAACTCCTCATTTCTGAGGGAAAAAAAATTGTAAACAATACAAAAAGGAATGTGCATCTTATCTTCAGTTTTAATCCCACTTCCAGTCACTGAATCTTCTAAATTACTAAAAAAAAAGAAGAGAAAATGCAAGGTTAGCATTTTTATTATAGTGCCTTCATCTTCAATTCATTCTACAGTTCCAGTATTCCATGCACATTAAAACAATGACACTCTAATACATTTTGAAAGAAAAGGACACTAGGAAGTGCATCATGGTATGATGAGTAGTGTACAAGGCCCAAAACCTTTCACTAATATGTTGTTTATGTTGTTAGCAGATAGCTTACAAGCCGAATTCATCATAATCTAGCGATCGCAGAAAATAAAATAATTCTGTCGTATTACACAGCCTTGTATGCAAGGACAACGTAAGCCCCTAGTGATTGTGACGTTGTCGATGGATAAGCCGTATAAAGGATAGACATGTTTAATGAGGAAATTAACTGCGCAAAGTCGTGCACTTTTTATCTAGACGTCTGACAAATTGTTCGAATCTCCGCCCTCAAATGCAAACAAGTTGCACAGAAGGACCATTGTCAGCATCAGCTCAAGTGAATGGTAACCACGCTTTCTAACAAACAGTTTTCTCCATCATGCATTGACACAAGAAAAAAAACAGAACTGATAACATCGGCTTGATATGGTAATAATTACATTTTTAACAATTAAAATGGTTTTTAACGATTAAAAAAACGTCTGTGAGCCCACCAACAAGCGCATAAAAGTACCTCTGTCAGAATCAATGATCCTTAACGTTACCTGCTGTAAGCTACAGTTTGTTTAAGGCTCATTACCATTATACCAGTTCCCGACAGCGTAATTCGCGTTTTCTTTTAAAACAACATTTCATAGCAAACCAGTTAAATAAATAGGTCTTTGAAAAATCAGAATTTAAGTCTTACCATTTTCTCCCAGGACTCTTCCAAAACTTCTGGCTGGGGTCCTGCACAAGGCATCATGGGTCACGAGTTTCACAGCAACAGTAACACAGGGCTGCCCGCAGACGTGCCTGTCTGTAAATCGGCGTACCTCACTTGGATATCGGCCGATGCCGATACATTATAAAATGCCAAATATCGGCCCGATATATTGGCCTGTCGATATATCAGTCGACCTCTAATTGCGATAATTATCGTTTTATCGTCGAGCCCTAGCTTTCACACCTTTCCATTGCCCACATGGTTACATGCACATTTGAAAAACAAAACCCATAAAACAGACCAGTCAGTGACATTGTGGGATTACCGTGGCAATTTCTTGCAAGGAGAACTTTCCACTGCCTGTAGCTCGATTGTTCTGCTTCAGGTACAAAGGATTCTTGGCCCTGAGAACATTGAAGATCACGCCGAGTCCTACAACTTTGGGATTATTCTTCAAGGTCATGATCGTTGAGTGGCTATCATCAAATTTGCTTTAACGACAAACAAAAATTTCAAGAGACTTGTTAACTGAAGGGAACTTTAGATTAGGACAATACATATGTGCAACTCAAATACAAATTAACTATTTAATGAAGAAGAAAGTAACATTCAAAGATCCTTGTGAGCCTTTTGTTCATAGTATTATAGTTGTTTGTGGTTTAAATAAAGGTGGAATACCCTAAGTTATTTGAAAATACATAAAAATACAAACAAATACTAATTTAGACTAGCACCATAGTCCGTAGTAAATAGAATACAAACTGACCTAGTCTGCATGGCTCTGTAAAGTTTGGTATAGTCTATCGAAACATTCTCCAGTCTGGAAAAAAGTTCACTGGAGCGATTCATTTCACAGCTGGCTTCGACACTCCCTTTGACAAAGTTTGATTTGCTCATAAAACGCCCCGAGGCCTCCTCATTGCCCTTCACGTTCATTGTACCAATATTGTTTTGAACAGATTTACCTGAGAAGGATGAAAACAAACAACCCAGGATGAAACATTGCTATTCATACATAACCAACAGAGCCCTGGCATTATTCCCATTGACAATCAATGGAAACCCCCCATGCAGAGCACTGTATGGTATCATTCAGGTGATATCAGTAACTGATAAATTAGAGTAAATGTTATAAAGCACAAAAGGAGTTGAAAATTTACCAAAAATAAACTACAGACAAATACAAATTGTTATTATCTGCCAATAGAGTCTTTTGGTGGTGCTGCCTTGAGTTGTGATGGCAAATCACTTGCTTTTGCTCAATATCATCTCTATGGCATCCAAACTATTCCATGCAGAGGAATAGAAAAGCTTGCAAGGTTTTGTTTCCTATGACAGTGTAGCAATATTTTAGCCAAATTTATTGGAAAACTCCATTCAACACATGGTGTTTTACTGTATACCATGGTATATCATCTTATGAAAAATTAGATATCACCCAAGCCTAATCTCAAGCCTAATATCGCAGTCTGAGCAATGTGACAACTGTATGCATGTCATGTGAGGTTGATGCTGACATTGCACATCACCCAGGCCTACTTAAGGTAGACACAGACAAGACATAGACAGGCATACGGTATGCCTGCACATCACTGCATGCAAGGTCACTCACCAAAATCCACAGTATCACCAGGCAAGATTAAATCCGCTACACTCACTGGTGTAGGGTGGTACTCCAGCACATTAAAAAAAAACAGCCTTGAAGTCTTCACAATCTTCACCACCGTCAACACGTCTATTGTTTTGGAGTCGATGACACTGACAACTGGTTTCAGCTCACCCCTTGGATCCAGGTCTTTTACAATGTTCTGAGTGACGACTTTAAACATTGTTACGGCCTGTGAGATTCTAGGCTGCAGATGCAAAGAAAAGCAGAAAATACGAGACAAAACAAAAAAATGAAAATTACAATTGATATTGGTTAGTAATTTTCCCTGAGCCTCACTACAGTCTCTCCAGGGTTGGGGGATTGATTCACACTGCCACCCCTATTGCACAAGCTTCCTCAGGGTACCCTAGTTTCCTGCACATACCCCTTATGATGGGGGTTTTTATGACTAGTACCCAGATAACATGCGGATGTGGGCTACTTCTGGCAAATGTGTGGCACTGCTGGCCTGGTTCCGGCACCAGCACCGTCAAACGGATGTATGCCAAAAGTGGCCCACTTGTGATTAGACAAATGTGGCCCAAATGTCACAAAACAGATATGGGCCACATGTTAAATACTTAATTTATTAAAAAAATTGTTATATGGCTTCCGGCTGTGGCCCACTTCTGGCAAAGGTATTGGAAATGTGCCCTTGTGCTTATGGAAAAAGACATGTTTTCTAGATGTCCATACTGTAGTTGCTCACTGCATCAAATAAATTGTAATAGGACCAATAAAATGATTGTAATGGAATCTATAAGGAAGGGTGGTTGGTTGTTTTAAAATCAAATGGCCTGTCAACAATTGAACTGTACAATGATCTTTGAAGCATCTCAATACCTCTGGTAAAGTTTTTACTTTTTATGCAACTGGGATTGGGACTACTTCCAGCAAAATACTTTCCCAGTGGTAGGTGTCAGTTGCAAGCGCGCTGCTCGTTACTGATTGGTCGCTGAAAGTCACATCAGTTGGAGGTGGGCGGGGAAAGTAGAAAAGGCGGGCAAGTATTTTTTTGTGGAGAAGACATTTCTGAACCGGTTTATTGAATGCGGTAAGTATAGCATAATTATATTTATTCATTTTAACACAGAAACGTGTGTTTCACTGAAGTTTAGTGTTTTTAAAATGTACATACGTTAACAAAGATTTTAGGAGATGTAAAAAACGAGTTTAAAATCCACGCCAATATGAATAGCTTTTCCGCCCGTCTCTAATTCGACCAGGCTTGTCCCTACAAAGTCCCGGTTATTTGCTAGCCATTTACCCTCTGTCAATTTAGATGTACGTAGCGTAGTTTTGGAATGTTTTTTTTTCCATTGATTTTCAATGATGCAAAGATTTCTCCTTGTCCTAGGCCATGTATCATATTGTACAGTAGAATTCTTAGAAACAAAGGAGGTGGAAGTTGTTCCACTTTTGTGGGTCAGCAATTGGGAATGCAGATGGCCAGTTGCATATAAACCAGAAGAGATTGCGAAGGCTACACGAAACTTGGGGCGTTTTTCCACCGCACCAGGTACCGTACTTTCAGTACTTCCATAAAGTGCAGAAAGTATGGTACTTCTTTCGTGTCGGTTTTCCACTGGAAATTTGGTTTCAATTTAGGTGCCGTCCGACGCAATAGGTTGACTGCTAATGCAACTGACCAGGAAATTGAGGCCTGCATTAAGAGATGGCTTCACTTGGCGATGGACAGGGAAGGAGGGAGAAAATGGAGACTGGAAGGACACAGCTGTCAATAATTCTTAAAAGCACTTTGTAGTGAACAAAGCTTGAATATTGTGTTCAAGGCTTGAATTTATATTGTTGAATTGACTGATTTTTGTTTTTTTTGAGTTTGAATTGACAATTCAACAATGGAAATTCAATGTGTTGTATCTCAATGCTAATATTTTTTAATGCAATTGTTTAAAATAAAAATCTTTGAAGACATTGGTCTTCTGTTGTTTTTAAACGCATTTGAAGCCTGATCAGGGACTGTATGCAGTTGCTGTTGAAAAGTAGCTCGTATGAGGTTTACGTCTGTGAGGTTCAGAAACTGGTAATGGGCCACAATAGGGCCAGATCTCAAACAGAGCCTGGCCACTTGTGGCTAACATAAGGCCCTGCTTTATGTTAACCTGATGCGGCAACCGAGAGCAGTCCGCTGGATCGCCATCATTCCATGCGGTACTGTATGTGGGCCAGATGATCATGCGTGATGTGGGCCACATCTGGGCCAGAAAGATTTTGCTGTCTGGGTACTTTCTTTGCTTTCTTTCTTTCCATCTTTTCATTGGTTAGTCAAATAACTTTCATTGTCACCCATTAGGATGTCATGAATAAGTAAGGATAAAATATTTAAGCATTTAAAAAAATATATTCTTAAAGGGGGTGCATTCTCTTATCCCCCACTCTATATCTCAGGAAAACTATATACTGAAAATGTGTGCTTTTCAAATGAATGAAAACCGTACCAGTCAGGACACGCCCAGAGCTGGGCCAGAGTTATATAACTATGCTTATCTCTCAAATACTACAAGCACAGACAAGAAATTCAAACATTTTTGTTTCTGCATGTGATCTTATGTTACTTATGTTACTTAAGACATTGAGAATACACTAAGGCTTTAACTATTCTTGAGATAAAAACAAAACCTGTACGCTATACTGCATAAATTGATTTTTATTTAAACACAATGTGGATTAAACTGAGTGCTGACTTCAGGAACATCTAGATGCTTCAGTAAACTATCAGAAAGACATTCCCGCAAAAGGACAAAGTCTGTTAACGGCAGTTCGTGGTATGCAGCAGAAAAAGGGAAAATTACAATTAATATTGGTTAGTAATTTTCCCTGAGCCTCACTACAGTCTCTCCAGGGTTGGGGGATTGATTCACACTGCCCCCTCCCCTCCCCCGTATTGCAGAAGCTTCCTCAGGGTACCACTCTAGTTTGCTGGAAATACCCCTTATGATGGGGGTTTTGATGACTGTAGTACTTTCATTGCTTTATTTCTTTCCATCTTTTCATTAGTTAGTCAAACGATTTTCATTCCGACACCCATTAGTATGACATGAATAAGTGAGAATCAAACATTTAAGCATTTTAAAAAATATATTCTTAAAGGGGGTGCATTCTCTTTCACTGTATATCCTCCTGAGACCCCACCCATTCATTTATGTCCATTGCAGTGGACATTTTGTTTTTGCATCTATCTTTTCACTGATGTAAGGAAACATATTTATTCCTGTTGTACACTAAAGAGGGCATGCTGTGAAATTAAAAATAAAAATAAATTTGAAAAAATCTAAATTGTAAGATGTCTAATTTCCTCCAAAGACAAATAACCTAAAATTGAAGGATACTTTTTTCCTTGGGTTTCTGGAGGTTAACTCAGGAAAACTATGTACTGAAAATGTATGCTTTTCAAATTCATGAAAACAGTACCAGTCGGGACACGCCCAGAGCTCGGCCAAAGGCAGGGAACTATGTTTGTTTCTCAAATACTACAAGTACTGAAACAAGAAATTCACGAATTGGTGCACGTGATCTTATGATTTAAGACATTGAAAATACAGAAAGACTTTATTCTTGAAGTAAAAACAAAACCTGTACGCTATACTGCATAAATTGTATTTAAAAAAAAAAAAAAACAATGTGTATTACATTTTCTACACAGAGTGCTGGCTTCAGGCACATCTAGATGCTTTAGTAAACTATCAGAAAGACATTCATGCAAAAGGACAAAGTTTGCTAACGGCAGTTCGTGGTATGCAGGAGAAAGACTTGACAAGAAGTGAAAAGCAGAATGCAGAAAAAGCCCAAAAATCATGATTATGTATTATAGATTGAGTTATATATTTCAAACAGCACGTATTTGATACGTGTTTTCTTTCGTGGAGAATTTGAAGCCTGCAGTGTAGAGGAATTTTCTCCCGGCTGCGATCATGTCTCCACCCGCATAAACCTAAATTCTATACAGACTAGGATCAGCGGGGCAATCCGCTTATACACGTGTCTGCCTGAAAAAGTATGTATATTAATACCGATGTGTATGGGGGGGCTGCTGCCACTCACCCCACCGTACCTCATTCTGTTCCAGTCAAGGCTATTTAATTTTCTTGCATATAAAGTGACTAGAGCAGAGGTCACTAACAGGCGGACCGCGGTCCGGGTCCGGACCCAGAAGCTGTCCTATATACGGACCCGGACCGACAGCCAAAACATTAAGTTATTATTTAAAACCTGACGCTTCTATTTTATCCGGCGTAGTTTTTGTGGTCTTTTCGGTAGGGTTTTAGCAGGAGAACCGCCGTTTCCCACGCCAATGAACGTCAAACGCCTCTAACCGTCAAGCTAGACGTAGTTTGTCTCCTGCAGCCCTTTGTCTGCGCTGATGTGCCATTAGTGTTAATAGCAGCAGCGAAGCTAAAACCCGCAACCAAAAATTCGTAATGTTCCTAACAGAGTGACTGGTCTGTCCTGAAATCATACAGCTGAAAAGTTTTTAAATACAGTATGTATTATATAACATGTTGGATAAATAGACGTAGTTTATTGTTGATTTCATGTTCGTTGAAGTTTCTGCTTTTTAACATATGTATAAAATAATGTTATCTGTTATATAAATAATCTGTTATATAAACAAAAAATGTACGTTTTCATGGCTGCCAAATCTCAAGCATCTGGCATGACACTCACGCTTTCAGACTCACGCTGGAAGTCTTACGGCAAATCTATATTATTCCATTATAAAACCTAAAATTAGCTACGTCAAATGTGTATTTATACGGTTAAATACAAAAGCAGACTATTTACAAGGTAAGAACTGTTACATGTGTGTGCAGACATCTCGAATTCACCATCTCACTCCAGCCAGCTGGCCGAAGTTCTGTGTCACGTGACAATAAATATTGTCAAAACGTTTTTGAATTGTACTGAATTAATTTGATTTGACAGTCAGGTACTGATTAAATGCAATGTTGATGCAACTAATAGGCTACTTAAATATATATCACACTAAATAGTATAGACATTATGATATTCCGGACCTTTGTTTCAAGAAATTTTCTCTAACTGGACCTCTTTAAATTTTAGTTGAATACCCCTGGACTAGAGGTTGGTGATCGTCATTATTCATCAAGTTTCATGCTTGGTGATTCATTTTAAATAAAGCCGAAAAACCTCACAAAAACACAAAAATTTACCTGGAGACGTAGACACCAACTGAGCCTGCTGAATCCGACGCAATGAAGTTGCTGGTCCTGTTTACTGTGAAATAAATTCTTTCGCGATTAAGTATGTGACGGGGGCTGTGCCGGAAATGGGCGTCCGCTGTCGGGTCTACGTTGCAAGATTTAAATTTCATTTAAGTGTGGGTGTACAACGAATATGCTTGTCAAATTAAAGCACAATAAACACTGTTTGTTTGTTCATTATTTCTTTTTTAGTTATTAAAATGCTCAATATACAGTGGTACCTCAGAACTCGAAATTAATCCATTCAGAACTCTGGACCGAATCCTAAAAAGTTTGAGTTCTGATCAAATTTCCCCCATAAGAAATAATGGAAAACCAATTAATTGGTTCCCGGCCCCAAAAAATTACACCGAAATATGTTTTTTTTTTAGCATTAAAACACAAAATGAACCGGACAAAACAAGAAAAGCATATACTGTACTAAAGACATCTACAGTAAGCACATTTATCAAAACAGTAATTTTTAAAGTAAGAAAATAAATGTATCCAAACAATGTGTAAAGTTAAAAAAACATTGTGTCCTGCCCCGATCGTCCGCTCCTTCTGTGTGCCACACCCCGTTTAACCCCATGTGGAATCCCCATGTGATCAGCTGTTTCTGGTTGTTGTCATTAGTTCTCTGTATTTCGTCCGCATTTCAGTTTGTTTCCCCAGTCCAGTCATTGTATTGTCCGTCTGCGTTTTGCCTGCCTTACCTGTAATTAAACCCTGTATTCCCCGATACACTGACGTCTGCGCCTTTGTCTCCGTTCCGTCCCCACTGGGCACGACAATATTGTTATAATTAAATGTATTAATGGTTTATTATTAATATTAAAATAATTAATAAATCTTTATTTTAAAATGTATTTTATTATATAATACTTACTGTTACTGTCTATCATTGTCTAACTGTATTTTTACTGTCTAAATATATGTATTCAGCTAGTGTAAACATGCACGACTTAGACAGAAGCGTTACCCTTTGTTTCCGCTGAGAGACTTGTGGCGTGACTAATTTCCCCGCGCGTACAAGTTATCTTAGGTCGGCGTTCACAGTTTGACTTCTGAGATTCAGATCGAGTTCTAGGTATTTTTTTTTTTTTTTTTCGAACTGGTTGGTTCGACTTTTAAGAAATTCGAGTTCTAATGAGTTCAAGAACTGAGGTACCACTGTATATGGGTATAAAAATTTGTATAATCTTCCAGTCACAGTACAGGAGAGTGATGCAGTAAATCTTAAAATAATGAAAAGCAGTACGATGGGAGCTGTCAAACGTAATAAGTAAAAAGCAGAAAGTGTAGAAGTAAAACAGAAGTAAAGGTAACAACCTGAATAGGAAATACATAAACTGGTTATAGAAATTACCACCAGAGAAGATATAAAATCGTGAAAAGGGAACCAGTACTACAAACATTAGCAATGAAGCTAAACTGAAAGTGCACAAGAGTAAGTAACAGAAACTGTAATGCACCAGAAGAGGCAAACTCCACAGCCCACATGTTATCCAGGAACAGGCTACAGCCTCAGTCCCCTGACAGGCCCGTAATGTAGGACTGCCAACTTCAGTCAGCTTGCAGAGTGAGATTTTCAATGCGAGGCAAGCCTGCACACACATGCACACGCATTTACATGTATATAACAGATTTATTACCTTGTAAATAGTCTGTAAGGTTTGCAAACTACCCCAATGCGTTTGATGCAGCCAATTCTAGGTTTATAATGGAATAATGCATAGAGGAGATGGGACATATTGTCCATGACGGTATTTAACTTCACTAATACTCTTCTATCAGCCACCCCCTCCAGAGGGTCTAAATTCACTTCAGTTCCATAAACAGACCTACCTATGTGTTGCATGCAAATAACATGTTTACAACACCTGTGGCCTGTACTATGAAGTGGGGTTACTGGCTTATCAGGGTTACTTGGATTTAAGGTACTACACAGTGACGGCTGGTGAAAAAAATTCTTGGTGGGGCTGACGTACCAATAGATTTCCCTTCCTAGTCCAGTATAAGCATTCAAATGAACAGTCAGAAAATGACAACAATTTCACAATCAGAATTTAATTTCCTTAGTTGGCTGGGTGATATTTATTTCGGGCTTGTCGGGTGCCAGCTCCTTAACGTGGATTTTTTCCACCATCGTTCTTCTCGCAAAAGGGTAATTCAATAACGATCTCACCAAATTTGTTGGAAGCTGCCCCTCAACTGTCGTCGTCACCATCATCTCTCTCTGACTGACTAACCTGAGAGCAATCCCAAAACTTTCCCGCATTATCTGTAGCAGGGGCGAAATTTCCAGCGCCCCAAAACCATTTAATTCGGCTTTGCTGATAGGCCAAATCTTTATTATTTTCGCCTAGCAACCATACACGATTGGCTATTTCGCTGCACTTCTGGAGTGCTTTGATGAGCGCCCAAGAAGAGAAATGATTGGTGGAAATCTGTCGGTGGAAATTCACTGTTGAATGAGAGTCTGTTGGTGGAAATGTTGTTTAAATAATTCAGATTGCATGTAGGCACACACTATTAAGTGAAACTGACATTTATAAAAAAATATATATATATTTTATTTTTATGTATTTTATATTCCCCCCCACATCTGGGAGGGTGGCGCCCAAGCGCCCCCTATGGGCCAGCTGCCACTGGTACTACAGTTTAAATGGACTTAATATTCGTTTACTTACATTTTGCCAAAACTACCTTAAATTCGACAAGTTACCCCGATAAATCAGTAACCCCGCTTCGTAGTACAGGCCACTGATCAAATAGTTAACATCTACTTTACTTCACCACTTGGAGTTTTGGCTCAGGGGGAAGGTGTGGGGCAAAGTTACATTAGTCTCACAAAAGGTGACACTAACCAACATGCCATTACCAGTATAATACACAATTAATTAACTGTCACAGACTTGGGAGGTTCCAGCACGGGGGTGAGGCATCGTGCAGGCGGGGAACAGAACGTGGACAATTCACTGGCAGCTGCAGCTAACACAAGGGGTTTACTAACAAAAACAGAAAACACTAGAAACACTTACAAAAACAGACCATGAGGGGTCAAAACTAAAAAAGGGGATAACTGACTAACTACAAAAAGGATTCGGGCAACAAGGAGCAGGTTGGCAGGCAGGCAAAGAACTAATAACACAACTTGCATGCATCAACAACATACAATGAAGGAACTGAACTAAGGAAGGAACCTAAATGAACAATTAACCAATCAGGATGGGGGCAGCACACAAGGACTGGCAGAAGAAAACAGGCAACAGGTGAAACTAATAAATAAATCAAGGAACTGAGGAATCAAACAGGGAACCCAAGAAACTGACAGAAACAGGGAAACCGAATCTAATACTAGGGAATAACAGACAGGTAAAAACACAATCACGTGCACAAAAGCAAAAACCAAAACCGAATACCAATCACAAAACAGAGAAACTAGAAAAACTGATGGAACATTAGGGAACAAAACACAAAAACAGAGGAGGCAGGATTCAACACACAGCAGAGGGATCAACAGGTAGCCACATGCTCAGCTCATTGAGCTATGTGGCTGATTGGGGAGTGGGGGGAAACACACTGAGGACTTTAACAATGGGGAGGACAGGGTGGCCAGTGACAACTGCTGGCCAAACTGGGAGAAGACGAAAGACTGGGACAAACAGGTGCTGACCCTGACATTACCAATAAATACAGGTAGCTGGCAACAGTGTTACATTTCAGGCACAGAGAACTTCACCTACAAAGATCAGCAGCTTAACACTTTATTCACATTTATCTTTCTTTAACTCCATACTGACATTCTATGTCAAGCACACATGTCAGTCAATGATAAGTCACTGTCAGACAATGATGTCATCCATCATGTTTTCAATACTAAGGATGCCCTCAAAGATCATTTGGATGGTTTTATTATATGCCTTTGGTGTGGACAGAATCCCATACAGAAACCAAAGAAAGCGATATCTTCCCCACGGTGTGTTAAAAGCACATGGTATCAAACTTGTCCTGCAGGATCGCCAGTCAGTTTTAACTTTGCTGGGTACATCTTCCTCTCTGATGTGAGAGTTTTGTAATCATCCATGGATAACAGATTTAGTTGAGCTCTGGTGTCAAGCTTGAATGTAATTATTGTCTCATTTTCCATTCCAGTAATTCCCCATTTTGTTTTTACTAGCCCCAACAAGCTGAACAGAATCCACAAATAATTCCTCAATTTCCTTATCAACATCTTTGTAAAGGCAGACTATGATTACAGAAGGCCTGCTGTTTCTAGCAGCAATTGATTTATGATGTCTGGTCTTAGTTGCCCTTACAAGGAGTTGTATTTCTCAGCATGCCGAGTCTGAGCTTGTTAGAGGGAGCTGAATATTATTTTTCTTCTGTACTGCGTTGCCTCAGCCACACTCCCTTTAAGCGTAATACATGATGTCATCTTGTGGGCTGGATTAGAACCTTTATCGATATTATTCTTACTAAGCTCATGCAGACTGGATGTGATGAAACAGTGGGCTGCATTTGACCTGCAGGCTTTGAATGTGCCACCCCTGCTCAAAGACAGAGGTTACCTTTCTGATAAGCTCAACCAGCCCTGACACCAGAGCCCCGGCACAGCACAGCGTAGAAGATGCCATTTGGTACAACAGGCTGAGAGAACATGAAGCTTCCCCAAAAGCTGCAGGTGACTCAGGCCTTTCCTCACTGTTGTTCACCCATTCTAGTCTGTTTTCTAAGGGAATACTCAGGCACTTATTAGAAGATACAATCAGCCATCAGAATGCAGACAGCAGTGAATGGAGCCCACTCCATAAGTCCACTACCTGCAGGCAATTCTCCCCACACCACTCCACAAAGGTCTCCCCCAGTATTTATATTCTACATTCTGCCCACTCTCTATACATCCAAATATTTCTGAGTCATCGGGTAGTGCAGTGTGATTTTATATTGTTGTTAAAGTCTTAAAGTACCCAGCATATACAAAATCCAGCTATACATATTAATACTGCAGTGATCTGAGAGTCTTAGGGTGATGCGGTAAGGGTCACTGCTCTTGGAAAGGAAGAATGCTGTCACTGAAAACACTACATTGGTGTCAAGGATGGAACAAATACCTA